CCATTCTTATTTCCTGATAGACGTCGGCAGTGTTCAGTGATATGTTCGCGGCGTGGACGCTGGTATACGCATTTTGGGCACCGGCGGCATCTCACGCTGTTATGCCCAACCATATATTGCAGGCGATACTGTCTTCAAGTGACTGAATGGCGTTTACCACGCCTACTGCAATTAAAAGCTCGGATGATTCATAAACTTGGGGTGCGTTGTGTGTATGCAACACTTGCAAGGTAGTGCAGCTACAGCGTGTTTTCGAGGCTGCACGAAAAACATGTTATCCCGTTACAGGTTCACATCGAATGAAATGCATCCAGGAACCCATAAAAACGTGGAAAACCCTGGCGTTTTTGCATGTACTTTATTTAGTTCCTTTTTATTCCATCCATTCTCCAGGAATCAGTTGCCATCACAACCCTGTGAGGTAGGCTTAGGGTTACTCAGTGAGAGTGGCTGGTCACACTTTTGAACCTAGGTCTCCCAGATCCTAGTCCAATACGTTCACCACCCTGTATACCCGTCCTGTGGGAGTTGCTAGTTCTCGTCAATACCTGATTTGGGACCATGTGGAGTTCAGCCTCCGCCCCCCCCCCCCCCCCCTTTCGCGCAATTTCCTCGACCTGAAATGGTGTTGGGTGTGTGTGTGTGTGCGCTATTTTGCCCGCTGGGGAAATTCACGTGTTTCCTGCGATACGTGGGCATGTTTCGGATAGTGACTGAAAAGTGACAAATTATTTGTGACACATCTGGGCTCTCTTGCTTCGCTTGTTACTTGTACCTTCTACAGAGCTCAGAGCAGTGGTTTACCGAACCCTGTGACATCGACTAAACTGAGATAATTCCAAGCATCCCCCCCAAAAAAAAACCCCCCAAAACCCAGCGCAAAGCAGGGAACACTTCACCGATTATTCCAAAATATTAACAGAAAGTGAAAAACAAAGGCAATACATTACAGTATTCCAAAATATTAACAGAAAGTGAAAAATGCAATACAGTACAATGCAATACAGAACGGTTGGTTTACAATCTGCGCCTTCCCGTGCTTTACAAGACTTGTGTGATTTGGGTTTAGAACCGTTTCAACTGCTCCTATAGCAGAATTCCGGCAGGTCTATATCTCCTGCTTTCATCACTTCTGTACCGGTTTACTGTAAAGCCGCCCCGCCCCCAGTAAGCCAGTGGTCCGATGAAGGCACTGAGAGTTCGGTGCTGGAGATGCCTAGTCATCCTCAGAAAGTGTTTTTAGAATTGCACTGTACATTTAATAAAGAGAAGGAAATGGCCATTACCAGTTCAGGTGTGTAATGCGGATATATCTTGCGTAGCGTGTATAATCCACCTGCATCCCGAGCGTAAGAACACGTATTGGGATGTGATTGTAAATGGCATTGAAATCAAGTGGACAGTGGCTTCGAGTGATTTAGGATTGAAACAATGATGGAACGTGCTTTATCCCTTTAAACTGCAAGAGACTTGCGGTGACATACCTGTTATTTAACCACTCTAGTCCTCCTCGCATTATACTGAGTGCTTTGTGGGCTGTGCCGTGGATAGGGCAGCATTTTTTTTAATCCCACGTTCACTTCATTTTCGCTTTGAAATAAACAATTGCGGCTTGTGAAGAGGAAGGGAGAGCCTGCAGCTCAACTCACGACCAGCGGCTCTGATCTCGTAAAGTCTGTGTGGTAAAAAGCCCTGACTCTCCACACCCAGGTAGTACCCGAAGGAGGCATCCCCTCCCTCTGGTTTACTACGGCTCTTATTAGTCACGCGATGAACAATGCTGATCGCTGTAGGGCTCGTGACTCGAACAGTTGGGCAACGCAACGCAAAGGTGAGCGAGGGAGCAGCCTTCCCACCCGCTTCGTCCGCTGCCTCCGCTCGCACTGGAGAGTCACGCAGCCTACTCTCCCCGCTTTCTTGAAGGCCGGTAATAAGGGCTAGCTCCGCCTCTGTTACTCCTCCTCCGGGCTGAAACTGCTGTGGTGTCTGCGGCAGCCATCTTTGTTGATGTGTCAGCTTTCAGTTCCTCTTAGGGGGTTGCTGCAGGACCAGGAGAGGGAGAGAACGATGTCTCTCGCTCGCTCATATCACTGTAAGCTACTACTGCAACTGATACTCTGGTTCCCAGCTTCCTAATAAACTGGTAAGAGCTCCCTGACTCGGAAAAGGTACGGGTCTGGTGATTTTAACCTCGAGGAATGTTGATTAATATATAGAGTAGGCTGAAAGAGACATTAGGGGAACCTGTTACTAGGCAGAAAATGCTGATCTGGTGCATTTTGTTCTAATGGCTTCTTTTGCTACATATCCTGTTGTTGATGCATTTTCTTAAAACTCTTGCTGTATTTCCAGTGCCTGATGTGGTAACTTCTCAGTGAGCTTCTGCTCCTCGTCCTCATTTCTTTCACCTCTCATCATCAAGTTTATAATTTTGTAGACTGTGCTTGTGCCTTAATGATGATATGCCTTAATCCACCCCAATATACAATCCACCCCCCCCCCAACAGTCTGTCACAAAAGATTGATGTTTGTCTCTGAGAATTAGGTGAGCATAATTTACTTCCTGGTAAAACAGGTACAACAAACAGAGGTGAGTGCCTTGCCCTCAAGGTCGCATAGAAAATGACTGAAGAATACAGTCTCTCCTCTCTTGCTGGTTAGCATTTTATGAATGCCTTTGTACAGGTATGTAGGTGTCAATGTTATTGCAAATCTGGTCTGATAAGTAAAGATTTTCTGTAAAGATTAAAGTGTGAACTAAGCAGCTTTCTGTCACTTTCTGGCCTATGTGTCTTTCCTGTTCTCCATTATCTGTTTTCATTTCTGATGTTTTTCTGAATGGAAAATGTTAATTACAATTTGTAGTGTCTCAAAGTGTACAGTGTAGAAATGCTTTCTCTACTGTGCACAGAGGCACTATTTTCCTTTATTATCAGTGGGTAGCTTTTGGATACTGTATAGCAAATAGTTTTTCTACAACCCTGCCATGATTTACAGACTGATCCTATATATGCTTACTTAGAAGTAAAGCCCACTGGGTGCAATGGAGCTTACTTTCAAGTAAGTAGACATAGGATTGCAGCCTCTGTGGTTGTCTTGGATTTAGAACTATATACAAAGAGTTCTATGGCTTCTGTGTTTGACAACTTTGAGACCTCATTGCTGGTATATTGTGGAACAAAGTCACTTACATTATGGCCCAGGTCCCAGAAAGCTATTTATTCTCAAAGCCATTTCCACAATTTCTCTTTTTGATACTGCCGTAAGGGTCTCCTTGCACTTACTGACATGGCTGAAATCTGTATATTTAACTTTACAATCTTGTTAAAAGTTGTTAGGTTCAGATTTTTGCAGCTTTGAGGCCTCTGTAAATAGAGTAGCTTATTTTGTATGTTTGGCTGTTTTAATTTTCTTTTTTTGGTGGGGGGTAAATACAAGTTAATAACTATGAGTGTATGGTACCCACATAGTTGAGATAAAGTGGTCTTTAATTTAGCTTTGATGCATGCACCTGGTAATTGTTGTGGGGGATATGAACAAAGGAAGTAGTATTTGAAGAAAGGCTTGCTTTGTCCAGTAATAAGATAAGGCTAGATGGTATGAGATGTTATTAGCCAGTTGGTTTATTTAAAGTCTTATATCCCAACATCGTAGGCAAAAGAGGCGTTCAAGGCAATTTACAAAAACAGAGGGGGGTAGCTAATCAAGAATAAGTAAAATAGTAAATGTTAAAATATTAAAAACCAGTAGCATTAATAGCTAAAATGGTAGAATAATCAGGTTGCTTCAAAAGTAGAACAGAAATGTTTAGGTTGTGTCTCAACCAAACATTGTTGTGCCTTATATAATGGGATTGTTACAGTACCTGCTGCACTGGTTCAGTGCAATGACCTGAAACATTCAGTTGGAATTCAAAGCAAGTTTTTGTATATAATTAGCTGATATATTTAATTCTCAACAGGGCCAAATCTGTAGATACTTAAATTCAGAGACTGGAGCCATAAATGGACAAGAGAGATGTTTCTATAAACCTGAAGAAATCCCTGGGTTTGCGGAAAAATCTGAAATCTTTAAAAAAAGTACATTGGGGAGGTTTAAAACGCTCAAATGATATAATCAGCACATGTCACTTTAAGAAATACATGCTGTCAGTACCCACTGCTAGGGAACCACAATAGTCTTGTCAGTCCTCAACCTTTGGCTTCTGTTAGTAAAAGGTGGGAAGGTGAGAGGCAGGGCCCTTTCCACTGCTGTTTCAGTCTTTGAGGGAGGACTCATCATGACCAAGTCCTGGCAGCAATCATGAAGTGACTTGTTACCACACAACTTGCATGATTCACCCAGACTCAGCTGCTTGTTCCTGTTCAACAGCAGCCACTGTTCGAAAGCCAGTGTGGTTCAGTGGTTGTAGTTTTGGCCTTGGACCTGGGAGACCCAGGTTTGAATCACCATTCTGCCATGGTGCTAGGGATGCCAAATCTGGGTTGGGAAATACCTGGAGATTTGGGGATGGAGTTTGGGGAGGGCAGAGTTTGTATGGGACTGCAGAAGGGTATAATGTCACAGAGTCCATCCTCCAAAGCAGCCATTTTCTGCATGGGAACTGATCCCTGTCATTGGGAGATCAGTTGTAATCCTGGGAGATCTCCAGGTCCCACCTGGAGGGCAACCCTACCTACTGTTCTCTGGGTGGCCTTCAGCCAGTCACATGCAGCCTAACCTACCTCACAGGGTTGTTGTGAGAATAAAATGGAGAAGATAACTATGTACCCTGTTTTGGGTCCTCATTGTGGAGAAATGCAGGGTATAAATGAGTAAATAAATATAAAAGTAGCTAAAGAACGGGAGCAAATAAAAGGTAGGTGGGTGGGAAAGTGAGAATATGGGGGTTGTCAAGAGAAGGGAAAGAGGAAACAGTGTGGGGAAGGGGATACAGGGGAAAGTTAGGTGCCCCCCCCCCACAAGTCCTTTTGGTTTCCCTACCATGCAACTGGGCTCAGTGGCTGCCACTGTACAACTGGGCCATAGTTTTCCCAGGTAGAGGCTGCCAGGGACAGGGAAGTAGGGAACACCAAAGACAAGAGGGCAGATGAAGGTATGTTGCCTGGTGGGTGAGAAGGGAGAAGGAAAAAAGAGAGGCTTCGGGGGCTTTCAGGGAAAGGAAAGAGTAAATAGCAGAGGATGGGAAAATTGAGTGTCACCTTCAAGTCCTTGTTGGTGTCCCATTTGTACATACACAGTAATGTGGAATTCCAGTAGGGTTGTAACTGACTGGACATCTAGTAGGGAAAAACGTACCATCTTAGGATGCTATTGTTGTGCCCACCGCTCTCCAATTTTGATATATTTCTTTCTTTCTCTCTGTTTCCCCCCGGAATTAAACCCAAACAAATTGTAACCATATAAACTAAGCCTGTTATTCCTGTTTGTTCCTTGAATCTTTTAAGCATGTTTATTATGCTGCATGCTAATTTCCTGCTCACCCTCTGGTAATTTACATTTTGTTGTATCTGAAGAAGTGTGCTTGCACATAAAAGCTTATACCTTGAATAAAACTCTTGGTCTTAAAGGTGCCACTGGACTCAATTTTGTTCTGCTACAGACCAACACAGCTACCCACCTGAATCTACACTTATACACAGTGTATGAAGTTGTACCCCTGGCACTGGAGTGGCCTTGCTGCCAACGTGGACTCTGGATCCAGCTAGAAATACAGGATCAGTGGTAATAGGTTGGAGTTCCCAGACATATTAGCTCATATTAGTATGCTTTGACAGCTTCTGCTGCAATCTACTTGTTTCATATACTGTTGTAATTCTGAATATATGTGTAGGAACTGGATGGTAGAGAATAATTGCATTTTCACTTTTTTCATTGTCAAATGTAGAAGCTAGTCTATGTTCAGTGACTGCATTGCATGTAACAATTTAGTGAGCAAACTCTATCTTTGTGCTTATTCTTCATTTTTGGGTTTCAGCTGTGTGCTACCTCCTTACTGTGCTGTGTCAGCAATAAACAGGACTTCAGCCCTGAGTCATAAATCTCTTGAAAGAAGCAGAGTTGATCGGAAAATAGGTAGATAAAAGGTCAGAATGGTTTCTGATGATACAGTTGTTCTTCAGTTTTTTCTACCAGGTTCCCCCTTTCCTATGGCTTCTATCTACTATCTGACTTGGTGTCAATAGTATTTATTGACACTAGTCCATTAATAGCCTATACACCTTCCCAGAGTTTATGGTAGGTAACAGTGTGTTCATCATAAAATCCCAGTTGCAGTTAATAAATCCATGTCTATCCCCTGTTGCTGGTCACCAAAAGTCAATGGACAAAATTACTTCCACAGCTTATGGAAGCTACTGAGACTGAACTTTTAAAATTTCTAAGGACAGGAAGTTCCACAGTTGAGGGGTAGCCACAGTGATAACCTTAGACATATCAAAGCAGTTCTGACTTACTGCATAGATGGTAAAAGTAAGCAGGTCAGTCCTAGAGGTTATGATAAAACATAAGGGTGAGTGCTGTGTATTGGGGGTGTTAGGTGCAGGCCATTTGGGGATATTTAGATCCTTATTAGCCACTTTAATTAAGTATGGAAACCAAAGATAGTGCAGATGCAATGTATTCCCAACAGCCCATCCATCATATGACATTTGCATATGTAGAGCACAAAACATTTTTCACCTGTTTAGGTTTCTGAAGTGTCATCAAGGATGATCCCACATAACGAACATTACAGGTAATTCAGGTTTGGTTAGAGTTAGTGCTGTTAAACTGCGGTTGGTATAGGTTGTGCCTGTTGCTTGGTTTTCTAAGGTGCTAATATTACTGCTGGTATGACCTTGGGTCAGTCATAAGGTCTTTCAGGCCTGTTCTCTCAAGGGCAGTTCTTGAGAGAGCTCTCTCAGCCCCACCTACCTCACAGGCTGTCTGTTGTAAAGAGGGGAAAGGAAAGGGATTGTAAGCCACTCTGAGGCTCCTTTAGGTAGTAAAGGTCGGGGTATAAATCCAATCTCCATCTCCTCCTTCTGTTTTTCCCCCCATGCAATGACTTTGTTGATTAAAAGCTGATTTTCCTTAGAATTATTCCTTGGGAAAACAGTCACGTAGACCATGGGACAGATTCTTGCAATGTTCCTCAGAGAT